GAACAAGCACTGCATTTGGACGGCGCAAAGCACATACCATACATCGATCGCCAAGCGGTTTAAAGCGTGTTGGACTGCCTGAGTGTCACCCAGCAAGGCAATGTCATCAGCATATTCTACCTCAAGGACTCTGTTCTTTGGGAGGAGTTCGACTCCACCGTTTGCTAGACCGGATGAAGCATCCTGTAGAACATCCTATATGACAAAGTTAAGAAAGNTGGGATATAGGGCAGCCTTGTCGAACTCGACTGGAGACGCGAAGGGTGGCGAAAGCTGGTCATAAACCCTAACCCGACCCGAGGTATGACGATACAACTCCTATCGCTGACCCGGATGAGATGGAACAGCCTGCGGGAGTTTCCCATGGGGGCTGCACGTTCCACCTCTGATGCGCGTTGAGTACAACCGATTTCGCGGCCCTTGCGTAAGCTTGCGGTGAGGTTACAACTCATATTTCGTTACGCTTGCTACCGGTCAGGATTGATCGGCGTGCGTCCACTCCGCAGAAATCCAGGGTGTCGCGGCATTACGTGTCAAACCACAACTAAGCCAGCAGAATGCAGAGCATTATTCATAGGCGACAAGTGCTGGCTAACGTCATCGGGTGGGGTTGGTTCTTTAAGCATTTGCGACAATCGAATGTTTCGTTTGTGCATGGTCCAACCTTGTTTTCTAATGGAATAATAACTGTTAGATAAATTAAGGGATAAACATGGCTTCACTTTCCCTAGAGTGTATTTCCCAGATTCTTGATGACGTCTTGTTTTCAGCTTGTCTTCCATTGTGCTTGAATTTAAATATCGGGCAATTCCGCATCCCCACATTGTACGGATAATTCCTCTCAGTTTAGTGGAGATGAGTACTCACGTGAAACAAGCTTGATTTTAGACTTGGAAAAATTCGAAATAGGTTCACTCTGTTTCGCATGTTGAACTTTCATTTCTTGTTTATAGCAGTGGTATTTAGGTAGATAATTAAAATCCTGGCAATCGAAATAATGAGCTGTAAATTAATGGTCAGAACCGATAGTTAAACCTGTTCCATTCCAAGTTACCATTGAAACTGATAAACTCTAGTCGACGTGTAAGAACAGTTACTCGAAAAAACTAATTGTGTGATTTTGCAAAAGTACCGTGAAAATTATTTCGGGCTTATGATCCAACTCAGTCTTAGCGACCATTGGATTCTTTCCGTTTTACACTGCAGTTGTTTTTGTGCAGAAAAAGATCGCTTTGATCCTAATTTCTTTTACAGCCGCGTCGTGGATGCCGGTGCAGCAGATTTCAATCCTTTAGACAAGCAAGACTATACCGACCGGTCGCGGCATTACGCGTAAGTTGTGTTGATGCGGTTCCATTTACATGTGCTTTTGAATGGCGCGTAGTGCCACCTTGGTGCAATTTCGTCTCACAGGTTACATAGACTATCTAAGGTCAATAGTCAACAGCAAATTACCTAGCCGATAATGCATCCTTCGTTGGTTTTTAATCATTTTCGCATCGGAGTTTCGATTTGAACACTCCCATTCCTTTGAGGTCTGATTCACCTTTTAGACATTCATCTGGCTAACTATTGATGAAGGGAATCAGGTTCAGCCAAACGCTTAGCAGTATCGAGTATATTGGGTTGAAAATGTGGGAGCATGAGTGCCACTCAAACATGTAACGTTTCCCGTCATCAATCAGACCGATCCAAGGAACATCGACCGGAAAGCTTAACCTGCGTACACAGGATCGCTGTTCTGCGTTTTTATACCTTCACGCTAATTCACTCTCTGACCCCACTTAGCCTTCGGAACATCACATTTCAACATGCGCCGGACTTCTTTTTATAGTTAAACACTAAATGACCCGTGATGATACCGCCTGTACGATGTGGTTGTTCATGTGGCTACTTTGTCGACCCTCCAGTGCTTTCCCAGTTAGAGTGAGATTGGAAATGGAATCAACTCAGCAATATTTTCACTTTGAAGGGAACATCGCATAACGAATTGTACTAAATAAATCAAAAGAGCTTGCAACTTAACTGGATGTTCTCTGAGCAGTGTATTGCCATCTACATAAGCGATATCGTACTACATGCTCGGAGGTGACCGATAATTAATACCGTATGGTGTCCGAGTCCATCTTACACTTATCCATTACCAACTACTAACTTGATATATGATAAAGAGAGGCCAACAAAGCAAAGTAGCACGATTTATGCCAAAGCACCTCACTGGTAAAATACGACACGAAACAACAGTCCGTATCTCAAAAGTAAAGAACATACCGCAATATTACACGATTTATGCCCCGGACGATTTAAATGTATCTTAACAAAATCACACTGCATAAAACACACTGTTTATACGGGGTTTCAGCATGGAAAACATACTGATGTAAAATAAAACAGATGGCAAAAAGGAGAACCATCTCACCAAGACAAGCTAAAAGAGAGTTATTTTTCTTGACACGAGGGGTGGGGGGTCCATCAGTCGATAGTAATCGCTTCAGCAAACCTTATCAATCTTGTGACTTGTAGACAATCCGAAACGCCATGTATCGGTCGTCTTCGTGTTGCGTCATCAGATGTCAAGCTATGGTTAATGACGATTGCGTCAACAGCCTTTGGACCCAATTCAGAATATGACCAACCAATGGGTTACGCAATTATCGCTCTGTTCTGCCTAAGCAAGTCGGTTTCCTCCCATATAATGGACTCAGATTAGAGTTAGCATTCATTTGCCGGAGTTATGAATATTCTGGTTGTCCAGTAGACGAATTGGGGTCAGTAGGTCTGGGNGGGCGGTTGCCGATATCAGTCATTTGTCGCTCAGGCGATTTACGTCAATTGTTAATCGAAGGCGCAACGCGGCCCGGAATTTCGGAGCTACCGCAACCGTTTGACGATTCTTGGTTTTGTGCGCGCAAGATTGGGGTCCGTAACTTGATTAGCATCGCCTCGCTAAACGCCAAAGTCCTGGGGTTCATGTAACGTAATAACGCCTTGAGCGACAATTGTGGGTCAACGATGTGCCCAGTTGCGATTGATGACCCTGAATTTCTCTTATCAGTTTGACCTCTAAAACTTTGTTACATCATCGATTGTACCAACCACTTGGGAATGTGTTCAGACGTCCGCTGTTACAGCGGCCGATTCGTTGTCGATGTAAGTGTCACCACAACTGCAGGTGAACTGGTATAGAACATGTGAAGCAGAATTGTACGGCTGGTTCTGTTTTCTTTT